TGAGAAGAATATGCTTCCTTTCTTTAACATCAAGAAATGGTTAGATATTCTAGTCTTCTCGGATAGGGACGAATAAATGGAGGTCCCGTCTCCTGCAGGGTTGGGGTAGGAGACGTTAATTTCCCACGCACGAGATTACTGTGTGATGGATGTCCTCCCTGGGTTGGGTTGGGTGGGTAGGTGAAATTGCTACGGACTAAACACGGCTGCCAGAGGCGCCTGTCTGATTTCAACCTTAAAATTGTAACTAAACACGTATGTTGTTTAGAGAAATAGAGACCTTGACCTTTACCTTTACTTTTTTTATCACCATGCCCGTTATTATGAGATTCCAAACATTTCTCCCATATTTACGGGACACCTCTACTCAGCATAGTGTACCAACCACATAATCACAAATGCAGGTTTTTTAAAAGTAATCAAGTATGCTTTTTTTTTTCCACAGGTTTATCTGATGAAAAGTGGGAAAGAATTGAGAAGGATGGCGCAAACCTTAGCCCATGACTAACTTAAAATTGAGCAATGTTGCTTTTACATTAAATCGGAAGGTTCTTTAATGAGTTACTTCGCAAAATATTATTCAGTTAAGGATAAGCTTTAAACAGATTAAGAAAGTAGCTTGGTAGTATAAACACGCCAGGTAATTATGAATAAACCGGAATAGAACGAACATGGTTAAAGGTAGCGATGGTTTAAGAGCCGGCCAGTTTCTTCAATGATGGGCAAACTATGATTAAACCGAACACTGATTTTCAGCTGAAGGTTTTTTTCTCTTTACTTAATGATTAGCCCAAATGCATTACCAAATGCCATTGGTTCAATCGCTATTATCAGCTCTGAGTCCTGATTAGCCCCTCAGGATTTTTTCTCCTTCTCTGATTGACTGCTGTGATAACTTTGGTTCTGGCTTTAGGGCAGTCCATTGAAATGAGCTCTATTAGAAATGAAAACCTTTCCACTGAGCAATTCCGTTAGTAAGTAAGTTCTCCCCCTTCCTGGTGGGTTCCCCTCCAAGATACTAATCCAATATAAATGCAGTTGAAGTTAAAACACCCACCCCTCCCCCCTTTCCCCTTCGTTCCATAGGATTTGCATGTGATTTCAGTTCGTCGACTTTTTCTTTCCAGACACCTTATGCTCCAAAACTAAACGAAAGGCTGGTAAATTCAAATTCAGCTTTTTTCCCGGAAAAGGCTGATAAATTCACTGAAAGCGAACTAATCCTTACTCTGAAAAAATCTCTTGTGCAGATGGTTGTGAGAAGAACTTTTCAACCTCACAATGACTTAAATCTGGCGATAAAGACCAACCTCGATTGACCGTTTGATTTCAAAGCAATAGCAAAGATCACTGATCCAGCGAATATAATTCATATTAATACATGCGAGTAGTTTTCGCAGGCGCCACAGGCGCCACAAGTTTATTCAACGTGGAACGCTTCAGTGGCTTCTGTGCAAAACGCTACGCACCGGACTCCAACACCATTGCAAGTGTCTTTTTGCTCGAGAAGTCGCAGTCGCTAGGCTTCAAAGTATTTTGAATCCGTGTACGAATGAAGTTACCCGCTCACACCGAAAAAGCGGAGGTGCCTCAATTGGTTGGGAGAAAATCGAATGTCTATCAAAAACCTCTCAAAAGTGATCCTTTAGCAGACGGAAAAGTTGATGAATTCCAAAAGTGCAATAAATATAATTTTGGAATTCATCGCAAAAAGAGATTGTATTCATCACAAAAAACCAAAACAACACCAACAAAAGACACAACAACAACAGCATAACAAGAAAGAAAACAAGAAAAATGCCCTTCAAATACTACGATCGGGAGGCCTGTGGTAGCAAACGTCATCGAATAAACCGAAATTAGTCATACTGCAAGATCAAAACAGCTTAACGAAAATACATACGCGAATCGGGAGCATATCTAAGAATGAATCAACGCTTCATAACCTGAGTTGGAGTAATTTTTATCAAAACTACATTCAACACTGTTATTTTGTTCCAAACGGTAGGTCGTTTTTCCTCCTTTTTCTATTTTTTTTTTTTATTAACCATTGATTTAGCCATGCAACTATTTTTTCTTATATGAAATTCTTATATTTTCCATTTATGATATCAAGCGCAATATTTTCAACAACGATACTGACGAGTTAAAGTTCTTGGTTTATCTAGTAAAGTCATAGCTATAGGGCTTACAAAAGTCAGAAAGTAGCGAGGAATTTTAAAGGCGCTGAATTTCTGGTAAGCGCGCTGAAATCGTCGCCACAAGGACTCCATTTACGCTGACTCTTGGCAAAACTTTCCTTTCGTTCCTGAAATACCAAAGTAGTCTTTTTCCCTTTAGTGAAGCTGTTAACCTTTTATTGTATTTGTGCTTGTCTTCATTTTTTTTGAAGGGGTTCGATTAATTCAAACCCGTGCCCCACTAGACACCAGCAGGGTCCGCCACTGCCAATTGAGCTACGAAGCTACAGGATGAAAATGATAAAGTTGTGTTTTGATTTCCATTTAATTAAATASAATGTGCCGTTCTTGATATGTGCTTAAAGTGAATGGAGATGAAGATGTAATTGCATTTATCCAGATGGTAGATCATCAAAATGAGGAATGAGAAATACGGATGTTTTTTTTGTGGCCAGGATTACATTATCAGAGAAATTAAGCAAACCACGACGGCGACGGCAACGGCGACGTGGCAAAGTAAAATATCTAATAAACATTAGCCAGCACATGCGATATAAATTTTTGTATATTTCCTACCTGCCCTTTGAAAAACAACAATGCAACGACTACTTGTTTTAATTTCCATTTAGTACTCAACAAGACATAGTTATTAAAGCGGCCGATAAGAGCGGCTCCGTCGTTGTTTGGCGCACCGACCTCTACCAAAAAGAAGCTTTGCGGCAACTTTCTGACACCTCTTTTTATCAAAAGGTCGACAAAGACCTCACTGCCAGCAATCAAAACTCCATCAAGAATACGATCAACCAACTCATAACTAAACAAGAATTGCCGGCCACAGCAAAAAACCTCATCATAACCACTCCTAGAACTTCTCGTATTTACTTTTTACCCAAAATTCACAAACCTAACAACCCGGGTCGGCCCTTTGTCTCGCCTTGCAGTTGCCCTACCGAACTTATCTCCAGCTATCTAGACAGAATTATGGCTCCCATCGTC